CGGTGGCTCATGCCTGTAATCACAGCACTTTGGGAGGCCGAGGCGGGTGGATCACGAGGTCAGGAGATCAAGACTATCCTGACTAACACGGTAAAATCCCGTCTCTACTAAAAATACAAAAAAACAAAACAAAAAAAACGGGCGTGGTGGCGGGTGCCTGTCGTCCCAGCTACTCGGGAGCCTGAGGCAGGAGAATGGCATGAACTCGGGAGGCGGAGCTTGCAGTGAGCCGAGATCATGCCACTGCACTCCAACCTGGGCAATAGAGCGAGACTCCATCTCAAAAAGAAAAAAAAAAGAAAAGAAGGAAGCACTGATCCATGCTCTAACACAGAGGGACCTTGAAAACATGATGCTCAGTGAAAGGGGCCAGACACGGAAGTCCATGTACTGTGTGATCTCCTTTATATGAAATGTACAGAATAGGCACGGGCGTGGTGGCTCACACCTGTAATCCTAGTACTTTGGGAGGCTGAGGTGGGCAGATCACCTGAGTTCAGGAGTTTGAGACCAGCCTGGCCAACATGGTGAAAATACAAAAGTATAAAATCAAAATACAAAAATTAGCCAGGCGTGGTGGTGGGAGCCTGTAATCCCAGGTACTCAGGAGACTGAGGCAGGAGAATCGCTTGAACCTGGGAGGCGGAGGTTGCAGTGAGCCAAGATCGCGCCATTGCACTCCCGCCTGGGCGACGGAGCGAGACTCTGTCTCCAAAACAAAAACAAAAACAAAAAACGCGCAGAATAGGCAAATCCACAGAAACAGAGCGTAGATGGGTGGTTGCCCCGGGCTGGGGGAGGGGAGATGGGAAGTGACTGTGGGGTGGGAGTGGAGTTTCCTTCTGGGGTGATGAACAGGTAGAGGTGCTGGCTGTACAATGTAGTGAGTGCACTGAAAGCCGCTGAACTGGGCGCTTTACAATGATTAATTCTATGTTGTATGAATTCTATCTCAATAAAAAAATATATCCATCTTGCCGTATATCCTGGTTTCAGATCAGCCCCTTCATCAACGAGAACACCCGGCGGAAGTTCCTCATCTACAGTGGCAGCAACTACCAGGGACCCGGAGGCCTTGTGGACTATCTGGATAGAGAAGTCATCCCTGACTTCCTTGGGGGAGAGAGCGTGGTGAGGCTTCGGCGTCCGCAGCCAGAGCTGGGCTCGAGGAGGTGGCGTGGCTGGCTGGGAGGCTGGGATTCCTGGAGTGGGGCTGGGAGGTGGACGCGGGCTGGGAGGTAGATGCGGGCTGGGAGGTGGACGCGGGCTGGGAGGTGGACGCGGGCTGGGTGCGGCACGTGCGCTCTGCCTGGGGAGGGTCTTGCTGGCTCTCAGCAGCCACAGGGCTTGCTTTAGAAGCTGCTTCAAAGAGAGGTGGTGCTGTTTTGAGGTTGGGCCTTCCTTTGGGTCCTTCAAACATAGTGAGTGAGATAGAAGTTTCTGGAAGCCTAAAGACTAGGCCAGTGAAAGGCTGACCCATTCTGTATTCCCATCAAAGACATTGCCAAGCAGCAACAAATTTACCTGCTCACTCACTGCAGGGGAGGTGACTCCAATGTCTCTGCAGCTCTGGACCGTGGCGCTGGGGCTAGTCTGTAACGCACAGTCACACAGCCTGAGACCATCAGAATCCCCCTTCAAGGGAGGCAGTGTCCAGGCCCCTTTATTGCCTCCCGTGGGGATGAAATGACAGGCTGAGGTGACCCTAGGTCACAACCCTGTCATCTCACATGGCCCCCAGTGGCCTGGGCCCTCTTCGTTTCTAACAGAAATACCAGGCAGTGAACTTGCATCATTGCTGGATTTTAAAAAAGTCTTTTCCTAGGAATTTTTCCAGGCTTGCCTGTTCTCTCCATTTGTGGTACGTGGCACACACGACTTATTTTTAGCAAACGGTTCTGCAGAGCTGAGAGTGGCTTATGGAAGGACACTGAACGGTGGCCTTGCTTTGCTAATCCCAGTGTTTCTACAAGTGAAACGGGGTGGGGGGAATCATTGTTTGGTGGTGGCAGGTGGGTCTGCCAAGGCCTGCCCATCCAGGGGGCCTTTGGTTTGGGGAAATCTGTCGATTTCAGTGCAGTGACTGCTCCACCCCCGCTTCTGAGGGGGAGAGGCAGCTGCTATGGGCTGCGGTGTGGAGAGGCCCCCAACCTGGCTGTCATTCCAGCACAGGGTAAAGGGACATGAGCATGGGGCTGTGACGAACGTGGGTTTGTGCCCTGGTACACTCACTTTCTGCTGTGACTTGCCCACGCCTCCATTCCTTCCTCTGTGAAACAGGAAGAATAATAGTCTCCACTGCACGGGTGGACCTGGGGATTAAATGGGGTCATGGAAGCCCACAGCCTACTCAGTAAGAGGTTGCTGTTACGAACGGCTTTGGGGGTCTCGCAGCACTCTCCTGTGGGTCAGGCCAGCCAGACCTCGACTGGCCCTGACCCGCTGCCCTTTATCTCTGACCTACAGTGTAATGTCCCTGAGGGAGGGCTGGTCCCCAAGTCCCTCTATATGACGGAAGAGGAGCAGGAGCACGCGGACCAGCTGTGGCAGTGGAGCGAGACCTACCATTCAGCCAGCGTGCTCCGCGGAGCCCCCCATGAGGTGCCTGGGCCTGGCCGGGGAGGGCCTGCTGGGCTGGGGGGGTCTGTCATCTTAGGTCAGGTGACCCCAAAACACGGCTTGAGATGAGGATTCTTTTTTTTTTTTTTGAGATGGAGTCTCGCTCTATTGTCCAGGCTGGATAGTAGTGGCACGATCTCAGCTCACTGCAACCTCCATCTCCCGGGTTTCAGCGATTCTCCTGCCTCAGCCTCCCAAGTAGCTGGAATTACAGGCACATGCCACTGTGTCCAGCTAATTTTTGTATTTTTAGTAGAGACGGGGTTTTGCCATGTTGACCAGGCTGGTCTTGAACTCCTGACCTCAGGTGATCTGCCTGCCTTGGCCTCCCAAAGTGCTGGGATTATAGGCGGGAGTCACGGCACCTGGTGCCTCTCTCTCTGTCTGTCTCCTCCCAGGTTCAAGTGATTCTCCTGCCTCAGTCTCCCGAGTAGCTGGGATTACAGGAGCCAGTCAGCACGCCTGGCTGTTTTTTGTTTTTTTTTTTTTGTATTTTTAGTAGAGATGGGGTTTCACCATGTTGGCCAGGCTGGTCTCGAACCCCTGACTTTGATCCACCTGCCTTGGCCTCCCAAAGTGTTGGGATTACAGGTGTGAGCCACCAAGCCTGGCCGAGATGAGGATTCTTATGCCAGTGGTCTGTTGCAGGTGAGGTCTCAGGAGAAAACTAAGGAGGGGAGGGCATTCCTGTAAGGAACGAGCGTATGGCCTGGGAAAGGAGACCCCAGGGGGCACCCGCAGTCCCTCCTGCCACCGTCTTCCCAACCCCAGCTCTCCCGTCTCGGCTGTGACTCTCAGACCTCGCCTGTCTCCACGCAGGTGGCAGTGGAGATTCTGGAAGGGGAGTCGGTCATCACCTGGGACTTCGACATTCTGCGAGGGGACGTGGTGTTCAGCCTGTACCACGCCAAGAAGGTGCCCAGGCCGGGCGCCCGGGAGCCAGGGACCAGGGCCAGTGGGCAGCTGATCGACAAAGGCTGGGTCCTGGGCAGGGATTACAGTCGTGTGGAGGCTCCCCTCGTCTGCCGGGAAGGGGAGAGCATCCAGGTTTGCATTCTCTGGACCACTCATTCGCTCGCCAAGCAGCGCCGAGCGTCCACCGCGTGCCAGGCTTCTGGGGATACAGCGGAGGACAAACTGGGCTGCTGGTCCCCAGCCTCAGGAACCCTGCAGGGCAGGGAAGAGGAAAGACACACAGGGTCTCACGTAATGAAGTGCTCACCTGCCCAACGGCAGCTGGTGCAAAATCGAGAAAGCACAGGGTGCTCTGCTGAGAGGTGGCTGGTGTCTTGGGGAGGAGCACAGGGTCTGGAACCTCAGTTTCCCCATCTGAGAAACGGGACTTCTAACAGGATCTAACTGTATTTGTTTCTTGGGGTTGCAGTAATGAGTTACCACAAACTACATGGCCGAAAACAACAACAATTTATTGTCTCACAGTTCGGGAGGTCACAAGTCCAAACCCAAGGTGTTGGCAGGGCCACGCTCCCTCTGAAGGCTCTAGGAAGGGGTTCATTCTACGCCTCTGTCCTAGCCTTAGGTGGCCCCTGGCAATCCTGGGTGTCATTGGCGGGTAGATGCATCACCCCAATCTCTGCCTCTGTTCTTAAAGGGGTTTCTTCTCTGTCTGTCTCTCTTCTGAGGCTCAAAACTCCCCTCTCTCCTGCAAGGACACTAGCCATCACATTTAGGTCCCACCCTAAATCCGGTTCTTGTTTTTTGTTTTCTTTTTTTTTTTTTTTTGGTTGAGACAGGGTCTCACTCTATCCATGATCAGGACACTGTTGTGGGGCTGGGAGTGCAGTGGTGTGATCACAGCTCACCACAGCCTCCATCTCCTGGGCTCAAGTGATCCTCCCATCTCAGCCTCCTGAGTTGCTGGAACTATAGGTGCCCGCCACCATGCCCAGCTAAGTTTTGTATTTTTAGTAGAGACGGCGTCTTGCTGTGTTGCCCAGGCTGGTCTTGAATGCCTGAGCTCAAGCAGCCTCCCAGAGTGCTGGGATTAGAGGTGTGAGCCACCATGGCTGGCCTCACCCTAAATGTTTAACCACAAAGACCCTATTTCCAAATAAGATAATGTTCTGAGGTTCTGGTTGGACATGACTTTTGGGGGTACACTGTTCAACCCACTGCATTAACTCGTGCAGGGGGAAGGATGAGCATGTTGAAATTTGAAGTCTAGGTTGCCTGCATGCATTCAAGTGGCTTCAGTGTGGA